AAAACCTGGATCCAAATGTGTCAAAATTATTACAATGAATGGGCAGCAGCCTGAAAATGGACTTAATGCCATATTTACCCAAGTTAACTACTTCACCATCTACCACATTACAGAAAACATGGCCAGGAAAATGTCACCAGCAGATGGGCCCCGGAATAGAACATAATGTGAAATAAACTGAAATCACCATCACTTTCTATGAGACTCAGCCTAACAGAAAGGCTGGATCCATTTCAGATTGTGATACCCTGTGGACATGCTACTTTGAAGGAGTACATCCCACTTAACTTCTAGATTCAAGTCTAACATGACTTGTAACTTCTAATCAGAAAGCTATCAGAGGCATTTTTGTTAATACCATAAATGCCTCTCTGAGGAAAGGCAGGCGCTTTTCTTTGAAAAAGGCAAGTATTATACTTCTTCTTAAGAGGCCTACATTCAGTTTCTCTGAGATGGCCAAAAATAAGCCAGTATCTAATCTTCAGCTGGTTGGGCAAAGTGACTGAGAGATATGATTTCTCACCTTAAAGCAATTCTGAAAAAAAAGCAGATAATGATAATTATCTGGGAATTAGTAGATTAAGTCTGACCCTGCTGCTCCTTCTGGACCCCACAGCAACCATGAGAACTGGAAGCTTTGAAATGGTTCTGTTCCTCTTTTTCAGGGATATTTCAGACCATGTCATTTGAAGGCATCTGCTTCTCAAAACAAGATGAATTACAGTATGTTGTGTTTCTCACAGCTCTGTTCTTTCTCCAGTGTTTTTCAGTATCTCACTAAAACTGCTGGGGGATATCAACAGGAAATTTGGAATTGTATTATATAAATTTGCCGATAATAGCTAAATATATTTCTCTGTAACATCTGTAACCTCTGTAACAGGTAATGGTGGGTAAAATGAGAAATTGAGACTGAAGCCAGGCAAAACTGAGGTGCTTAGTATGAGGAGTCACAATTCCAGAGAAGTAGCACTGATCTGCAAAAACAGGAATGCACAGCTTCATCATCTACCCAACCCACAGGGAAGACAACCTTTATCTGTCTTTTCCTGATACCCACCAAAAGTAGCATTTTCCAATTTGCGCTAGCACAAGCAGTGCTGCCCAGTTTATTTGCTGTGCATCATTTCATTGTAGGCAAATTCCTCCACTCCAATTGACTTCTGTGCAATATGGCAGGAATATTCTCTCTCCTCCAGTCACTGTTCACTGCCCTCCAGCATCAGTTTGCTCTAGGCTGTGGGGCTGCCTGCCCCCATTTGAAGGGACCCCAACCAGTTAACCTCTGATTTTGTTTTGTTTTTGTTTTTTCATTCATGGACTAGTGAAATGAAGGATGAGGGGTTTTTTTACAAGTTCACCAGTGGAAAATTAAAAGCATGGACTCTTTCTTTTTTTCTTTTACAAATTCACTGATGGAAGTATGAATGGCGGATCTTTCTTTTTATCCATGTAAATCTGAGAACAGTTCTGCCACTTTCTCCTTCTAGCTTAAGTGATAGGTGGAAGAAGGAAGCAGCATTTTTTTCCTTTAATCTTTTATTGGTCCACTGGTAGATCCACCCAGAGGGGAAGGGGTCAACTATGAGGGGGAGTCGATGGAGTAGGGCTCATACAAAAGGTTATCAATGGAAACCATATTATCCTCTAAGACCCACCAATGGAAAGGAAAGCAACTGTTGCTTGTTTTCTCAGCATAGGAAGGAGGGTTTAGAAGCAGGGGAAACCAGCAGTTAGGGACCATGGTCAACACAGTCCAGACAAAACACCAGGACCAAAACTCTATGGCCAAAGTGGAAAAAGGTATTGAAATCTGGAAAGGGATTTCTTCAACCAGCTTAATTTCCAGCTGGTTTATGCACAGGAATCAAACAGCTTAGGGCTGCAGTGTGGAAAAGCCCTTAGATCTTCCCCTTCATAAGCTTCCTGTTCCTGTTATATTCTCCCTGAAAGAGCAGTTACACCATTTAGGAAAGCTTTTGGATCTGCATTCCTCTCTGTTTTCCCAGATACAGGCAATAATCTTCAGTTGATACATTACAGTAGTAATGTCTCTTATTAGAAAGAAAAAAAAATTACCTTAGAACTCTGGTGCACTCATTGGTAACCTCCAAGCTTGACTACTCTAATGTATTCTTTATGGGGCTTCCTTTTAGTCTAATCTGGAATCTTCAGCTGATACATCACTCAACAACCATATAGGTCTCTGGAATAACACAAAGGAATAACACTGACGTTTACTAAAAGCACTGCACTGGCTGTTAGCTTGTTTCTAAGTGAAATGCTTACCTACACCCCTATGCAGTGTGGGTCCAGGATACCTGAGAAGTCACTCTTTCTATATAATTCTCCCCACATCTGCTCGTCAAAGTAATCTGAGCTGGATAATCCACAGTTGCTATTTTAAAAACAAATATTTTAAAATTTGATTTTTAATAATTGTTTTTGTCATTTTTAATATCTCTGGTTTTAATTTTACTTTTATTAGAAACTTCTGAGACATCTTACTAGTTAATGGTGGAATCAGAGAGAGAGAGATTGGCCACCCTCCTCATATGTATCTATTGTAAAGCATTTTACCAGCTGCTCCATGCACCCCTAATTCACATTACATAAAATGATAGTCACATAAATCTTCCATAAAATTACAGTGTTTGTAAGGAACTTGGAGGTTATGTAGTGCAGCTCTTCTAGGTAATGAGGGGTGGGGGGAACTACAGCATCCCCAGTAGATGGCTGTCTACATAGTTAAGAACTTCCAAGGAAGAAAAGCCCCTACTCCCCACCCACTCTCACTTCCCACCTTTGGCTTTTATCATTGGCATGGATCCTGACATCTGGTACCCTGCAATTTCCACCACTGGTTTTTACTCTGCCATCTGAAGCAACAGAGAATATGTTTGGCCCGCCACCTTTTATATGACAATGCCACAGATATTTCAAAACTGCTGTTATACCCCTCTCCTTCTGAGAAAGACCAGCTTTCCCAATCAATTTGCATATAACTTGGATACCATGTTTGGTGACAATATACCTGTGAAAGCCAGGTGGTAGAGACTAACACCCAACTATTACCATCACCTTTGGCTGGATACCATTGAAAATGTAATATTAGACCAGACAAATTCATAGCCGGATCTGGAAGGTAGTTATTACTTACATTTCTGTTTTTCTTAGGTCCTTTTTTCTCCAAAACAAGTATACTTTTTGATATTGAAACATATGAATAGTGTCAGTCTATCTCTCTTGCACACACAGACACACACCAGTTACTTTCAAAGAAGTATACAGGAAAATGATATCAGATCCACAAAACTAACTTAATTCATACTTCCCAGATTAATACAGTACATGGATTAGAATAAAGTTTTCCTTCAGACTGCATATATGATGGAGCTCTTAGTATGGTAAAGGGATTAATTGAACCTATGACTAGATAAATGAGAAACTGAGAAAAATTGATGAGTAAATCAACCTCTCTGATTAGCTTGTATTTCAGGCAGCAAAGGGGCAATTTTGTTGTCCCAGTTCTGATGTTTCCAGGCTGCTAACATGGAGGGATTTAGAATCTCTTAATCAACTTCAATCTACATACATAGTTTATTAGTAGTGGAACAGATAAGATTATATAATATGGTTTTTTATTCATGCATGTCATAAAGATGTACTCAGATAAAAATTCTCTCTCCTGATTATGTTTATGTTAATTGTACCAGATAAAAATGACAAGAAAATTATCACCTATGTCTTAAGAAAGAATCTTTTCAGCTATTTTCATTGCTATTGTAACATATTTTACAATCTTTGTTGAAATTCTGCTTCAGTATCATAATAATTTTCATAGAACTGTTAGAAAAGCCAGGTTTCAAATTTGTTCTAAATTTGTAGCATTGACCAGTAGAATCCCACTGAAGGTGTACCTGCAGAAGACTGTGTGTGTGCAGTGAACACTGGATTTCTCCTCCTCCTCCTCTCTTCTGTACAGAATGAAACAGTAGCCTCAGGTAAAGGATCCCAAAGGAGGTGAGGGGGGAGCCTCCACAGCTTTCTTTCTAAGCCCCTCTTCAATTTAATTTTGATAAAGGGCAGAGCTGTGTGCAGTCAGGTCTCTCTCCACTGAACTATATGCTGCCCTCTGGTATTGCTGAGGCCAACGCTGAAGTAAGATTTAACAACTGGTTGGATTGCAGCAAGGGTGGTGTCCCATCTGGGCCAGCCTTGTGGCCAGAAAGGTTGTTAGTTCTACCAATTAGAAGCTAGTAGTGCAAACAACCTCTATCAAAAAAAGAGAGAGAACCATATCATTTTACCATAAATCATAGAATGTGCATTATCCTTTCACCTGATATTTCAGAAGGTTCTGCCCATGAATTCAAAGTGCAAACTTTGATGATTACTAATTATTTTAATGACTCCATCTCAGGATAACCCCTGTAGGTATCAATGTTTATTGAAACATTGAGAGAGGATATAAGCCCCCCATTAATCTAGTTCTTTTTCATTGTAACTGCGAGGCTTAAACAGCAGCAAAATAAAAACATACGTTGTATAAATGTAATAAAACAGCTTAGCGGGTTCAACCAATTATTTTCCCTATAAAACAGTTTTGCTGTATTTGAAGAGTTAAAAAAAAAAAAAAAATCCCCCCCAAGGAGTGTAATTCAAAGCAATCACAAGATGCTCAACCTCTCCTGCTGTTTCTTCTGCTGCTACTTGTTCCTTATTATTCTGTATTGCATCTCCAGACAAACGGCCATGTGCATCCTTGCCTGTTTTCTTCGGTTATTCGAACCCAGAGTCTGCCTTCCAGTCTGATAAATACAAAGCATTTTATTTGGGAAATGCCCAAGCATGTGAGAGCATTTTGCATCTCTGAAGAGTTCAGTTTCATTTGCGCCCTTCCTTCTCTTTCCAAGCAGGCAGTGCAGAATGCTGTATAAATAGCCAAGTCTGTGCTACCTCCAGTTTGAGATAATCCAAGCCTCTCAGAAGCAAGGCATACGGCAGGGAGAGCATCGAGCAGCTTACAAAATGAAAGATGATGTATATTTCAGACTCAATCTCCTGAGCAATCTTGGGAAGCTTGGATGGATTACAATAATACTTCAGCAAGGCTGCTGATATCCATAAAGAGCTGTCACTAACCAAGCAGGATAAGAGCTGGAGAGAATGTTATTCTTTCCACATCAGATTAATTTGAAGAGCTGATATCCTGGAAAGGATAAGACCTGAAAATGCTGATGGATTAAACTTTTAAAACGCTTTGTAAGTGGAATGGGTGAGTCTTAAGGCTTCTTCTTTTTTGCAAGAGAAAAACGGTATGATATTGATTCTCAACATCCACTATTATAATACTTTGGCAAATATTTCAAGACAGATTACTGCTGCCAGAGTGGAAGTTTTTGCTGCTACATCTTAGCCATGCTTAAAATCATCTATGCAAGCAAAGGTGTCATTAAGCTGGATAAGTTTGGATGCTAGGATATTAGAAGCTCCTCTTCTGAAATAAACCCAGCTGATGTTGTACTTGTTTTTAGGTAAAAATACATGGTTGGGCTGCATGATTCCAAAATGTATATTTCCATTTTCTTTCTCAACCTTTGTTATAACAAAGCTCTTGCATCACTGGGTTTTCACACAAACCAGAATTCCATTAATTCCAAGATTCTATTATTTTGAATGTTAACATGGTGAACAGAAGCTCTGAATCAAGATGAAGTTTGTTACTGGGGTTTATAGTTAATCTGTGCTACCTGATTCATCTCTGAAACTATTGCAAGGCTAACCGTTAATACTTTAAGGTTAAACATTGTGTGCAATTAAAAGGATCATTAGTTCTTTTTTGTTAATGAAGAAATATAGTTTTTGTCAGAAAAAAATAATTCTTTTTAAAAGGTAAGTTGTATATATTGTAGCTTCGATTATGAGAGTTAATTTCAATGTAAAAAAAATAGTATTTTAATTCAATTTTTATTCAGTACCTTTTGTCATAACATTATTGTAACTTAGTCTTAAAGGCTTAAGATAGCATTTTAAGACTGACTTCAGAGGAATGGCTAATAAGTGAGAGGCAATATTGAAATAAGTATTAATTGTGCCTTTATAAAACAGAGAAAAGTATATTTGCTTATGAAAAGCAATTTATTAAAATTAGCTTCCATTTTAGTTATGAAATCTGAACACCAGCCTGCCAACAGAGGCAAAATATAGCTAAGATGTATGAATAGCTAGATGCTTAATTAACAGCAGACACAACTATTATATTTTCTCCATTGCATAATGATTTAGCACCTCTGCTCATGTATGTTTACAATTCAAAACTAACTCATGATCAGTCAAGGAAAAGAAGTGAGATAGTAAAACACAAAGAATTTAATAAGAATTAAGAATGATAGGGATAGAGGGAAATAAGAATCCAGAAAGGAAAGGGTGTATACTTATGTATAGAGGAAATAAACAAGAAATATATAATATTGTTCTTTCTCAATTTGAAAAAACCTACAATATGAGAGTTTTGCAGGAATTTGTTAGTGGTTCTTTTCCTAATAGATTCCATTGGATTCTGAGCAAAATATGCCATAACCAATTAAATTTTAAAAAATCTGGATTTGAAATCTGTTTAGTCCTTTCAATTTTCTGATTGTGGCTGTGCATGTTTGACCCTAACCACATTTCCCTGGAAGTAAATCCAAATACAACTAGTGGAACATACTTATTTGTTTTCAAGAGAGAGTCCTTGAGAGAGTTGCATCGCAGTCCTAAGCATGTTTACTCTGGAACACTCAGTGTGCTTTGGGTTACAACTTTAGCATCCTTTCTGCAAATATTCTTAAATGAATTAATATATGTGTGTTTATTAAAAAAAAAAAACACTGACAATTTAGTTGAAAATGAAAATAGTTGCATAGAAAAGATAAACCATTTAATATTGTTCATGAGAGTGGTTTCCTTAAAAGAAACCTTTAAAATTCCATCTTTCACTCCTACATCTAATGTTCGGTCAAATAATTTCAAGTATTAAGCTTATCTACATTTCAAGAATTGGAAGTCTAAGTAAGTTTATTTAGTGCTATAAGGCAACAGACTCAAAATGTTTATCTCAAAATCTCATTTTTTATAACAAATTTTGATTTTGGGGGTGGTGGGATCCACTACACAAACTGATTCTCAAACTGAAGCATAATTTCCTTTTATTTTCCTGGAGACTGATTCAGTGCAGAAAAAATGGCCCCAATTCTTTAAAAAATGTTGCATCCAGACAAGTTGTGGTGTATAGAAGCAGAAGTTACTTTCCTCTTGATATTATCAAAGAAATAATGCTTACTAATAAAACAAGAGATAACAGACTATTATGATACTAATTCAGTATTATGTTGTCTTATCCTTTAGTAATCTGATGTAATTTCCTTTTTGTACTTTTTCCTTTAGGTTTATATTGTAAGTTCAAACCTAATATGTGTGCATTTATGTAACGAATATAACTATTAATTTGCTTAGGTTACTAGAAGAGGTTCACTTTTTCAAAGTGTAAAGCAGTTTAAGTTTAAAAGGATTTCAGGTAGACAATCACTCTTGAGATTCAGGAAATTCATACCCTGCATGTCCTGTCATTACATGATTATACCCAGGAGGATTATTGTTTCTGTCATGAGCTTCAACAACAAAGAAAGTGCAAATACATCAGTTCGTCAAATTTAGAGATAATCTGATCCAGCTTGGATGTTTCTATATGGTAACCCTGCAAATTCAACCAGATTATTCCTACAGATTTATATGGTCTGTTTGTTAAAAACAAAAGAAAAGGAATGATGATGATACCATTTGGCTGAACGTTATGGATCCATTTCAACCCTATAACATAGTCCTTCCATGAGTGCATTTCTCTGCCCACAAAGTGGACTCCCATTAGCAGAGGAAAGTTCTGCGCATTTGGCAGGAAAGAGGGGATACAGCAGAAAGAGGGGACACCTCTAATGGCTTCAGAGGAAATTGGCATTTTAAAAGGAAACTGATGAAGATATCACATTTTGTTGCCTTGGAGTGGCTGCTATATCAAATCTAAGATGAGACACCCAGCACTTCTGCAAGTGATTTTTGAGCACACCTTTCATTTTGGGCACTACTTTAGGTGGCTGACTGCAAATGTGCAATAGCTTTTAGCTAGGCAAATTAAGAACATAATTAGTTTAGGACATATCCCTTAGTACTGAAACTACATCTGCAAATTTTAGGACATGATCTGAAGCCTGTGCTCTAGTGATGTTGCAGGAAGTCTGATGGCACAAGTCATCTGCTCCCCTTGGCTACTATGTAATAGTTCACCGTTGAAAGAAGAGCAATCCAGTAAAAATTAAATACAGCCCATGGTGCCAGAGGAACGGGATTAATCGATTTGCCTATGTATCAGTTCTAAATGGAAACTCTGTCACTAAAAATTGCTATTTATTGCATGGAAGAAAAAAAATAAAGGCATCATATTAATTTTTTAATCCCCCCCCCCCCCATTTTAGGTAAATAGCAACTCTTTTGTAGGAATGAGTTAGATCAGGAAAAACAGGTCATGGAGTACTAGTTTTACCAATGAACAAGTTGAGGCAATCAACTTGTGTGCGTAGCAAAGTGCTAGAGGAAAGAACTGTGTGCCATTCAGCTTTCCTTGTGTCCCCTAGATACAAGAATGTTGCCTTATAGGGATGCTGAAGACATCTGGGACAATGCTGAACCAAGATTCAACTGTCAATCAAGTCAATTTTTGTGCACAGAATGGGATAGCTCCATTTTTATATTTATATGGAAGCATAATGTCTTACATTAGCCATGAGTTCATAAAACATTAACTACCTTCCCAAGTTCTTTGCTTTTTCTGATTATTTTGATTTAAAAAAAAAACTTGCCTCATCATTACCACTGCTTTTACTCACATTGACTCATAAAGCAGTAGAATGGTGTCCAAGCCAGTTCTAGCAACATTTCCAGATGTAGTTTTAATGGCAATTTAACATCCCAGGTCATCCCTGAGGGAGTCTTCTAGATCAGAAACAGGTTAGTCAGATGTAGTATAGACAATGTGCTAAAACACTGCAGAAGTAGAATGAAATACAAGTCAGCAGAACCTGGATTGGTTGGTAAGCTGAAGGAAATGTGCAGAGAAAACTCTCAAAATCTCAGGTACTTTTATAAGTCTTTATCTGCATAATCCTGAAACAGTTATAAATTTGCTGGTAAATCTCATTTAAATGGAGACTGTTGATTCAGATGATATTTAAAAAATATGTTAAATAGGTCTGAACTGCTCTGCAAATATTTCAGGATTTGATTTTCATTCATTTCTTGTCTACTCATCTGTCAATTGCAGTAAAACATATGCAATTATTTGCTTTTTTCTTTTCCTAGTTTATATTATACTATAGTATAGCAGATGACTAGAGAGTGGAATTTCACAGATGATACTGTATATCAGTTCCTTACTTCAAAAACAGCTGGTGGGTCCAAGATCTCTCTAGAGCCAATCTCCTCCTTTTCCCTACATTTTTGGGAGGCTGAGCTAAACTTCTTTAAAAAAAAAAAAAAAAAGCAGCCATTGAGCCATATAGGACATTACAACAATGTAACTTGCTGAGAAGCAGAGATTTACAATTTCTACGGATAGTGGTTTTCAAACTGTGGGGTAGTTCGTAGCTTCTTGAGAGGTTATGCTGTCCAGAGTTGGTTGGTTGGTTTGTCTTTAATTAGAAGATTATGGAAGAATTAAGGTAATGAAAGAAATATTCTTGTCCACTGGTACTATAGTCAGGCTTAAATTTAAACTTTAATATTTTAACCATTTATTCACACTCTATTTCCTTCAGAAATATAATGGATACATTGACATTTCTAACTAGTGTTTTCTTGTGGACAATTGTAGCCATTCAAAGTGTTAAAACTAATGCTGGTCCAAAAACTGTCTTGCCATTTCTCAAAAGTTTTCTTTTCCCTTGAAAAAACCCATTTGTTTTTCTGCCTTATTTTCAGAGCACGTGAGAATTTCTTTTTCTTTTGTCAGTATTTCTTAGCTTACTTTACCATGGCATTGCTGTTCCACATTTTTCTGCCACTGAATAGCTTCTCTAGCTGTCCTCAGGGCTCAGTCTGGGGGCGGGGGGGAGAAATTCCTTTAGAAAATATTTATTTAAGATTTAATTGAATTGGGAGAAGGCAGGGAGGATGCAAACTGCTGGAGAGATTATTATATAATGAAAGGCAGATCATGGGCCACCAAGCAATGAAGTAAGTGGAAGA